CCCCGCTATTTTTTTTTTTTTTTTGTGTTTGTTTTTTTTTGTTGGCAGGCCGGGCTGGGGATTCAAACCACCACCTTAGGTGTATGTGGCTGGCGCCTTAGCCGCTTGAGCCACAGGTGCCGAGCCAGGACATCTTTAAAGTCAATTTTAGTAGTAAATATATTTAATGACAAACCTATTTTACTGAAAAACTACTATTTTAATAACAGAAAGAAACTATTCCCTTAACATAATAAAAAGAAATAGAGCATAGGTTTTTAGTGCTTATTGTTTTTGCCCCCTCCCAAATTTTATAGAGCCAATTAGGCTGTTGGGTAGTTGCACTAATCATGTCAAACCACTTACTGTCTTACCTTATTTGTGTGAGGTAAGTGGTTATCTGAGAAATCAGACCTTGCTGATTTCTAGAGCTTCTTACAGTTCTAAAATTCTAAGGCTCTGCTTCTTTACTTGTAATTACTAATACTATTCATAAATACTAATATCATCACCAGAGTTGATGACACAGTGACACAGAGAAATATGGCATTGACCTGTTTCAGAGTTTAGTTTAATCTGGAAGCCTGTATTACTTGGAATATATACCATCTGTATATATTCTCTGTCCTATAGATACTCATGAAGATCTTTTCTCCAAGTATGTATTTAATAAAATACTAAAATAATTTCCATATGAATAATTGGGCTACATTCAGCTCTGTCCAAAGTACATTAGGATAATTTTAAAATACTTGCCTGAATTGATTTATTCTAGACAAATTTCTCACCTATTAATATGAGATGGGTGATACCTAGGAGTAGCTAATATGAATAAGCTTACACAGAAATACACTTCAATTTACTTTCATTTGAACACAATTATAAGAAGTTATGAACAAAAAATACTTTGAGATAAATAGTATTGCTAATCACTTACCAAAAATGCTCAGTGTAATTACTATTCCCAGGAGGATGATGATCATTACACATCCAACTTTCATGAAAATTCCATGATGGTGACAATCTATGAATTTGGAGAGATTTCACTAGTAAGCCCAGTAGATAAATCCTTAATGGTAAGGGG